TTATTTTTATAAAAATGCCACACTGTTAGATATCAAAGAAGCAAAAATAACCCAATTCCTTGAGATAAATAACATTTTATTAGTTTTAACTTCCATATATGTCAAAACGTAAATCAATCCATGACAACGTCGATATTAATGTGTGACTAATGCCCGTTTTTATCAACTCAAATTACCTTTAACTTACTTTTTATCTTTTTTTAGTTCCCAGAACCAGAAAAGGATAAAGAGTAAATTAAACCAAGATTAAAGTTAATCTACATTGGTAGAAATAGACATTAGTAAATAATGAACTAAATTTGAGTCAAATTTAACACATTTCTTTGAATTAAATTGTTTAATCCTATTTGTTTTTGTTAAATTAACAACTTATTGAATAGCAGTGGTGACCTATAAAAATGATTAAAAATAACTCAAATTGGGTAGAATATGATATAAGTTTAACAATGCGTCTCGACTATGCGTGCGATTATGAGTAATTTTATTAAGACTGTATTGGTCACGCGGTTGCACAATATTGTAGATACCATGCGACGAGAAGGACGCGAGTTCATATAATTCCGACGAATTCGTTCCAGCTCTATAAGAGAGAAAGAGAGATACAGCAGCTTCATCGCAAGAAGCGCTGCGTCGCGTCGCGTCGCGTCGCGTCGCGTCGCGTCGCGTCGCATCGCGTCACACCGCCGTGTAATTGTCTTCGGCTGCAAAAGCGCGCAGTCACACCTTATTTATAATCCTGTCGATTCATGACGATCTATATATCGCTCTGTCGTACCGATAATTAGTTTTCGCGTGTGCGAACGTATTGTTGCCTGTTTTACACGAGGAAGAACCGCGATTGATCTAACTATCGAATAAAATGCGAATAAAATGCAGATAACTTTTACGAAATAGTTAACGGTACCGACAAGAAGATGTTTACTGATGTTTACAATAAATATATTGTTGCTTTTTTCGGGAGTCAATCAGTATTATCAAATCTTGTTTTTATTATAATTTTATACGTGTATTGTCTGAGACGACATTCGGCTTCCGTCATTTGTAGCGCGAAATTAAATATCGTAGTGCAATCGCGTAAACGTATCCGATCGGAACGACAGGTCGATGTAAATCAACATGCTCGTTATAACAAAATCTGACGGAGAATAGATTGTGCTCATATTCTCCACGTACGTAATATTTCTGGTTTCTTGAGAGTTTCACTACGGGACATTCATCAAAACCGCGGGGGGAATTTTTCACCGGTCTACCTTCGGTTTCTTTTTCTTCTTTTTTTTTTTTTTATTCTGTTTCAGCGCGTATCGATGATTCGTTAGCTGTTTAGCATCTCTGACTTGTCTAACGACTCATTAAAGCCGAAGGATAATTTTTCACTTGCCCGCTCATTAATATTCCTTCTATGCCGCGAACTCTCTCGAGCCATTCACCTCGAGCGCGAGAAAGCGCTGGAATCGTCGTCGAATCCTCATCGCACTCTCCTTATGGTCAGAGATAATGAGCACGCGAGATAATAATGCGAAAAGATCCTTTGGGATTCGGGATATCTCGACTCTCGACGTCGAGAGACCAGCGTAATTTCGTGTGGCTGCAGTCGACAAAAAGAAGTCGATTGAAAATTGTTGCGCCTGTAAAAAGCGCGCATAACGTACGTGCCGTGAGAGTTAATTCGCTGTAACTTATATCCTTTTGCCTCATCAGAAACCAGAGGAACCGTGGAAATACATACCACGACTTTGTGCGTAAATCTAGGTGTGAAAGATGCGAGCATCCAGGATGGATGCTGTACCGTTGCGAAAACGAAATCGTCGTGTTCACTGGACCATTGCATTGGGACCTGGGATCATCAGATGGAGACGCGCTATAAAGGCTACCTCATCAACTATCATTCTCTCAGTGCCACCAGCGTCGTCGATTAAATCGGCGTCATCAAGATTACACCTGGCTTAATTCAATCTCTGTGATTACAGAGTATTGAAGCATAGGGAAGGTTGCAACCCGGTCTCTCCCATCCTTCGCCTCTTTCTCTTTCGTTTCTCGAAAACGTTATTTCCATAAATCGACTTATCGTGTGCCCATGCACACCATCGCGCACCGCCAATTACCGAGCACCCTGTATACTCGCGTTGCACGACGATATCCCGCGAATGCCGGGCGTAACCGCGTCGAGAATTGGGTGCCGGGCGTAGCAAGCGGCAACGGGAGATACCAGCAGCTAGAAACGACCAGGAGGAGAGAGAGAGGTTGGAAACTGTGATGCCCGCAAAAAGCATGGCAGACAGCGCCGATCGTTTTTGCTCGGCGTCAGCCGCGTTCCTACCGCCGCGTCGTCGTACTTCGTGGTGGTACATCGTTCTACCCTCTCGCTCCTCTTCCTCTCACCCCTTGACTCTCCCACTCTTGCATTCATCCTCCCTTCTTGCTTCCCTTCTACCCTCTTCGTCCTCTCTCGGGCATAAGTTCCCTCTGTCTTTCTCTCTTTCTCTCTCTCTCTGTCTCTCTCGCTCGCTCGCTCGCTCTCTCGCCTTCTTCGTGTCTTTCTCTTTTCGCTGTGACATTCGGGTTGTCGCGATCCATCTATCTGTCCGTCTCTCCATCTCTCTTCCCATGTTCCGTTCGCCTCGGGATCGTGCAAACGGATGGGATTACCTTCTCCTCCTTCTTCGCGGTTTACGCATCCAGGAAAATGGATTACATCGTATTGCTGCGAGAGAATACGAATAGCGTATTCGCTCGGTGATGAAAGCGCATGGTTCTGGAATCGAGATTTCGTCATTAACTTCATCATTGGCTGTCAGGATTGATCGGTGCGCGAAAGGTGATATTAGCGTGGAACAATCGGGTATCGCTTCTGACTCGCCCAAACGGAATTCATTCAATTTTCACTTGATGGCTCTAATTGTCTTGATCAGCTATCACCAGTCAGATGGCAATTCAGCGCATATTGGAACTTTTTGCATATATATATATATATTAGGTGCGCAACTAAGTTCTCGCTGTTATTTTCATGGCATTTGCATCAAAATAACAGCGAGAACTTAGTTG